AACCCCTTGAAGCCTGCAGTAGTTATCCGTTGCTGCATAACAAACTACCACCAAACTCAGTGACTTAAAATGACAAATGTGTATTATCTCACACCGTGTCCCAGGGACACCTTAGCTGAATGGTCATGAGGCTGCAGGTCAGGGCTGCCTTCGTCTGAAGCTTGTTCAGAGCTAGAGCATCAGCTTCCAGCATGGCTGTTGGCAGGAGGCCTCAGCTCCACCCTACGCAGCCTCTCCACAGGACTGCCTGAGGGCCCCCATGACACAGCTGAGGGCGTCACCAGAGCAGTTAGAGGAAGTCACAGTGCCTTTATAACCTAGTTTCTGAAGTTGAACACCATCACTTTCTCTGTATTCTTCAGAAAAGAGTCCAGCCCCGAAGGGGAATTGAGCTCCATTTCTCCAGAAGAGTGTCAAAGAACTCGAGATCTTTCTTAAAACCACAGAGTCCTCGACAAAGGAAAAGTGACTCTGCTCTCTCACACAAGAGGCCAGTCAAGAGCTGGAGAAGGAGAAGCAATTCTGCCCACTAGCTTCTGGGCTTCAAGCTGGTTATGACGTGGAGAGACAGAAATAACACAAAATCCTTCACTCAGGATCTGGGTGAAACAGGACACATCCTGTGCTCCCTGCTTTCACAATCCTCTCCTCAAGGCCCAACAGAGGTGCCTACCCAGAGCTCTTAACCTCTTTCTAGACTGTGCTCTGAGCACCCAGAATCCCAAAGTTCTCTTCCCAAATGGCCCGAGCCTGCTCCCTGGGCCTTTGCAGTCCTCACCCTCAGGTTCATTTTCCCACCAGTGTATGCACCCCTGGGCCCGCAGGTTACTTGCTGGAGTGTGGACAAAGCTCGGCCATGCAGGCTGGGGTGTCCTCACACATGGTGTGGAGGCGAGGCAGGGACAGGAAGAGAAGGAAGATGGGCTGGGTCAGTTGTATAGATGCATGTATCTATAGATGCATGGAGGTCAAGGTGCCCACAGCATACCAGGGGCGTTCCTTTTCTTCCTAACTTGCCAGTGTGCTTGTCCATAACCTAGCAAGCCTGCCTCAGCCGAAGGGCTGATGTGAGTCAGGATTTGACTGCCTCCGTAGCATCCCTTTTAGGCCAGGGACCAGCAGACTGTCAACAACAGGCAGTGAGGCGCCACTTCTGAGCCCAGGCCTCCCTCTAGTGACCAGTCCGGGGACAACAGCTAGAGGCTCTTGGCCACTTTCCTGAATGGACACCTCTTCCAGAACCTACTTTCCAAAACCCATATCTGATCCTATTGTTCTTTGCTTAGAAACCTCAAATACAAGCAAAATTTCTCAAGCGCCCCACACACCCCTCCATGGGCTTCAAATGAAAAATAAAGCCCAAGCCTTGGGCTTCCCTGGTGGCGCAGCGGTTAAGAATCTGCCTGCCAATGCAGGGGACACGGGTTCGAGCCCTGGTCCAGGAAGATCCCACATGCCGCGGAGCAACTAAGCCCGCAAGCCACAACTACTGAGCCCACGTGCCACAACTAATGAAGCCCACGCGCCTAAAGCCCGTGCTCCGCAACAAGAGAAGCCACGACAATGAGAGGCCCATGCACCACAATGAAGAGTAGCCCCTGCTCGCCACAACCAGAGAAAAGCCCGCGCGCAGCAACGAAGACCCAACACAGCCAAAAATAAATAAATAAATTTATTTTTTTTTTTTAAAAAAAAGCCCAGGTCTCAGCCTGGTTGACAAGGCCCTTCTCAATGTTAAGCGAGCCTACATTTCCAGGACCCGCCTCTGCCCCACCACCACACACACACACACACACACACACACACACACACGTACGCGCACGCGCACGCACGCGCACACACACCTCCACCCCCGCAACCTCTGCCTCCCACGTGGCACACACACCTGTGCTTAGGTCAGGCCAGAGGGCTTGCTCTTTTCGCACCTGTTCTTTTGCTGGCAATAAACTGCCCATCAAACAAACTCTTACTCCTCCATAGAGACCCACTTCACTCTTCTTTGCGGCTCCCTGGGGGAGAATTCACGACCCCTCAGGGGGTCCCTCTGAGCACTTTTCTATAGAACAATAGCTAATGCTGACTGAGCAGTAATGCCAGTCCCAGCGCTGAGGGCTCTAGAGGCACTATGTCCTTTAATCCTCACTATAACCCCAAAGCCAGGCGCTATGATCATCCCCATTTTACAGACCAGGAAACTGACAGGAAAGGGGTTAAGTCACATTCCCAGGACACATGGACAGCAAGTGAGAGCGGGGCAGCCACAACGCTCTCTTGCACTCCAAGCCACCTCCTCGACCACGGCTCTCGGACACATGTCCTTGTTTCCTGCCTAAGAGCCTGAGAGAAGCCTGTTCTCTTGTCTCTGGATCTTGAGCATGGGACACGGCCACCCCTGTGACTGGTGCCTGGAAAGCCCTCAGTCTAGTTCCTGAACTAATGGCAGACAGGAAGGGTTGGCTTTGCCTGCCACACTTCTTCTCACTTCTTCTCACTTCCTTTGGTTCTGAATCTTTTTAAAATTTATTTATTTATTTATTTAATTTATTTTTGGCTGCCTTGGGTCTTCGTTGCTGTGCGCAGGCTTTCTCTAGTTGCAGCGAGCAGGGGCTACTCTTTGTTGCAGTGCTGGGGTGTCTCATTGCAGTGGCTTCTCTTGTTGCGGAGCACGGGCTCTAGGCGCACGGGCTTCAGTAGTTGTGGCACATGGGCTCAGTAATTGTGGCTCATGGGCTCTAGAGCGCAGGCTCAGTAGTTGTGGCGCATGGGCTTAGTTGCTCCGCAGCATGTGGGATCTTCCCGGACCAAAGCTTGAACCCGTGTCCCCTGCACTAGCAGGCAGATTCTTTAACCACTGTGCCACCAGGGAAGTTCCTGGTTCTGAATCTTGATTCTAAATCTCCCATCTTGTTCCAGACTCAGAGCCGGTCACACATTCTTAACAAGGAAGGGCAGACCCGTGGGCATAGTTTGCAGTGTAAAGATTAAGAATAAGAAACAGGGTGTAACTTTGAGCTATTTGCCAAAACAACTGATCCCTGATTCCCCATCTCTAAATTAATAACCCAAATTGGCGACCTGTCAGGGTTTGTGCTAACACAGCCAGCTGCTCCCACGGGACTCTCTGTGCCCCGGAGGGCTGCCCACAGTCCCTGCTGTCCCCCTTCCCCTGGCGGGACCAGCGTGTGTCATCCCTGCTCCCTCCTTCCTTTCTCCCGACTGCCTGCCTTCTCTGCTCTCTGTCCTCTAATTTAGGCAACAAGCATTAAATTAACACTTTTTTGTCCACCCGAAATACTCAAGTGACTAGGCTGCTATCATTTCTTCCTTTTTTTCTTCAAAATGGAAATACAGGATCATTTTTTTTCTTCCTGATTATGAAAGTAATACAGCCTTGTGAAAAATGCAAGCATACACGTCTAAAGTGAAAGTGAAAGTTGCCAGCCATCCCACCTGAACAAGATAATCACTGTTTTCAGTTTGGTTTGTAGCATTCCAGATGTGTGTGTGTGTGATTCCATATTAGTCTGAATTGTAAATGAAGACCTATCTCGTGGTAATTTTATTCCAGCAGTCCTGGGTTGAAACAATAATGCTGCTACAAGATCCAGGTCAAAAACCAACCAGATTCACCTGAACAGAATTCTCATACTTCCATGGGGGAAGACTAAGAACAGGGATAGGGAATATTGGAACCTTTGGTTCCAGAAGATTCCTGAGGTCCTTATACCAATTGGTCATAAAAGGTCTATGTATAAAGTGGCTTTTATTAAAGCCATAGGAACGTCATCTTATACTATTTGCTCAGAGCTAAGTTCCTACCTACTCATATTACCAAAACTAAGGGAGCCAAGCGACATGGTATTTCCCTCCATAGTAATGAAACACTGCTCTCTTGGGTAATTTGCTCTCTTCCCTTTAAAACTGAGCAGACCATGGCACAGGGTTTAGGGAGAGAGGGAGACGAAGCCACTTCAGCAGACAGCAGGCTTTCATCCCTTCCAGAAGCGCGGACTGTGAAGCTGATACCTGGTTTCCGCCCAGAGAAGCCCACAGACTGTGGGAATAATTCCTCCAGAGTGGGAGGCACTAAGGGTAAATTTCTCAGCAAAAGGAAAAATGCCAGACTGTGAAAAGCAGAACTCATGCCCCAATGGCTGATTCACACCACCAAACCCCGAGAGACCGATGTATAAAACCAGGAGAGCTGTTTAATCATTTTCTAGTAAGAAGTAAAACTTGTAAATGGATGGATAGGCTACTTGTGTTTGCTGACCAGCAAGTTCTCTCCCTATGCGCTTATGACTACGAAGGAAAATAATAATATATAAATAGTAACAATAACAATTACAGTTACTCTGTTGAGTGCATACCGTGTGCTAGGTATTGTGCTGAGCATTTTATCTTCATAAATAAGTCTCTCTACAACACTATACAGTGGGTACTATTTTTATCCCCACTTTGCATTGGGGTTCAGAAATGTTTAGAGCAAATAAGCGGTGGACCCACAATTCAAACCCAGTTCTTCCTGCCTCTGAGACCCAAGCTCTGAATCTCCCACCTCCCCGGCCTCTCCTCCCATCTGGGAAACTGGATTGCGATCTGGACTCAGAACAAGGGGCATTATGTGGAGTCTCAAACACAACTCAAATGTAACTGGGCCTCTTTGCAGCCAGTCTCAACACAGTGATGTACAGGGTCTGCATCCCACATACGCAGCGCCCACTGTACTAGCCATCCTACATAGAGGACTTGAGCATCCTTGGATTTAGGTATCCGCAGGGGTCCTGGAACCGAGGGACCACTGTACAAAGAAAGCACAGATCTGACTCCCAAAGCGCCTGTGCTGAAAGTCTTATTTTCCTGAAGGTTTTATGAAAAGAAGAGTGAAGAGTTTACACATCATGAAGCTTTCTAAATATTCTGTCTCAACATCTCTGTCTTTCTTTCCAGGTCCCTCTCCCTCTAGGATCTGTCCCCATCCCTTTCCTCCTGCTGCTCTGCTCCATTCCACCTTCCCTCCTTCGGGAGTCCTCCTCTACTTCTCTCCAGATTTCTCCTCCCTCCTCCAAATCTCTCTATCCTGGTTTACCTACTTCAGAGATGGCAGATTGATAGCTCGAAGCTTAGCCTACAACAGTGTTTAGATTGGCTCACACAGTTATTCAAAAATTTGAATTAGTGACAAAATTTAAAATCAGCAGGTTTCACACATAAATTTAATTTGCAACTTAAGGAAAAAAAGGTGTTTTTTTTTTTTTTCTACATAGCAACCACTGGTTGGAGCTGAGTAGCACCTGCTTTTCCTAGAAGCTCAGATTCTTCCCTTTGTCAGTCTCCTCCCTTCCCCCTAGCCTGCTGACAATGAGTTTGAAGGCCAAGGGCTCTTTGTCATCCTTTTTATCACTAAAGTTATCACCTGACCTTTTCAGGTATTCAAATTTCCAAGCCCTATTTCTTTATTCGGGTACCACAGCATGGTAACTAGTGCAGCTAGACTTTGGAGCAGTCCTTGGGATGGGTTTTCCTGGCACGTCTATGAATATACTTGAACACCTTGTAAATGGGACACTGACAGAGAAGACTGTGGTTCTGTACTGGTTTTTATTGAAAATACTAGACCTGGGCATGTATGCTCATGGGAAATTATCCAAGTGGGTACACCACAGGAGCACATGCCCTGTGCACTCAATTGAATACTGAGACTTGCTCTTATCACAGGGTAAGAATCAGTCGGGCAATAAAACATGAATACTTAACACATCACATGGTGATAGTAACATAATATAGAGAGCTTAATGTTTGTTCTAAGATGGGTGCTTCTTATCTGACTTTTATATTTATGATAAGAATAAGCTTAGTACCTAGTGATTCATCTTTGAAATAAACTTTCTCATTTTTACTTCAAGCTTGGGGATTCATTTAATTAGAATCCTTGAGATTGTCAGGTGAACTTTTATCATTTCTAATGAATCCAGTTTCTGTAGTGTCTTGCTGTGGTAGCCTGTACTGTTGTTTAAGAGGATTCACTGCTTCTCCCTTGGATGAGGTTATATGTCCTTGCCTTGTTGACATCAGGCTTGACCATGTGATTTGTTTGGGACAATAAAATGCAAGTGGAAGTGATATGTGTCACTTCAGAGCCAGAGCTCTAAGAGCTAACAGATGTTCATCGTTGTTCTCTATTCTCTGGACCACAATGAGGAGAGCCAGGATCTGAGGTGAAGGCAACATGGAGCAGAGTCTGTTCCCTGCTGGATATAGAGCCTGAATGAGAAATAAACCTTTGTTACATGTCACTGAGATGTTGGGATCATTTGTTACGGCAGCATAATCTAACTTATCCTGACCAAGACATGGGCAAACAAAGCAAAAATACTAACTCTAATGCCTCTGATATCACAACAGATTGCAAAAATTTCAATTTTTTTTCTGTGTATCAGAATGATTTACATTTTCTCATTCATTGAGAAGTAAATGCCATAAATTTACTTATTTACTTATTTTTGGCTGCATTGTGCCTTCGTTGCTGCACGCGGGCTTTCTCTAGTTGCAGCGATCAGGGGCTACTCTTTGTTGCAGTGCACAGGCTTCTCATTGCGGTGGCTTCTCTTGTTGCGGAGCATGGGCTCTAGGTGCACGGGCTTCAGTAGTTGTGGCACATGGACTCTAGGTGCATGGGCTTCAGTAGTTGTGACTCGCGGGCTCTAGAGTGCAGGCTCAGTAGTTGTGGTGCACGGGCTTAGTTGCTCCGCGGCATGTGGGATCTTCCCGGACCAGGGCTCGAACCCGTGTCCCCTGCATTGGCAGGCGGATTCTTAACCACTGTGCCACCAGGGAAGTCCAGTAAATGCCGTAAATTTAAACTCATAAAATAATTATATACTCATAAAATGCTCTCTTTATATGATACTATGATACATAAAATTACAGATATATAGATACACATGTATCACCCTCCCAGGACAAAGCTTAGATGGGGCACTGTCAATGTTTGCTTTTTTGCATATCCTTTTTTAAGTACCCATTGCTGAACAAACCCCTTTCCAACAGACATATTCTTTCTTGAGATAAGCCAATGGCTTCAATCAAGCTACTGTGTCAAGTTCTGCTAACCTGGAAGGCATTTTGCCTCTTTAAGGTGGCTGTGTATGTCTCAGCTCAAATCCATTATGAGTGAAATATTTTTAAATTATTGCCATAATACATGTACCTGGAAAAAAATGCCAGAGTATAAAATGATAAGCAAATTCTCCCTCCCTGCCCCAGTTCCCAGTACCACTCTACAGAAGTAATCCCGTTAGGAGTTTCTTATCAGGGCCAGCTTCATTGGTGTACTACCTCTGCAGTCACCCAGACCCCACGCTCAGCCCTCTGCACTTGGTTTAATGTGCTACCATTACCATCTGAAATTCTTAATCACGTTTGAACAAGGACCTAGCATTTTCATTTTGCACTGGGCCCCCAAATTATGTAGCTGGTCCTGCTTATGTATATCCTTCCAGAAACATTTTTATGCACACATAAGCATATGTTTGCTTATTTTTTAAAAAACACAGTGGTTCGGAGGTTTCCCTGGTGGCGCAGTGGTTGAGAGTCCGCCTGCCGATGCAGGGGACACGGGTTCGTGCCCTGGTCCGGGAGGATCCCATGTGCCGCGGAGCGCCTGGGCCCATGAGCCATGGCCACTGGGCCTGAGCGTCCGGAGCCTGTGCTCCGCAACGGGAGAGGCTGCAGCAATGAGAGGCCCGCGTATCGCAAAAAAAAACCCAAAAAACACAGTGGCTCATCAAGCCCTTTTCTTCTTCCTGGGCCTGCAGAAAGACTACATTTCTCAGCCTCTTTTGCAATTAAGTTGGAACTCTGTGACAGCTCGGGCCAGTGGAAGGCGGGCAGAAGTGATATATACTACTTCCAGAAGGATCCCCTAAGGGGACCTGCCCACTTTTCTGCACAGCCCTTCTGCTATATGTATGGCTCTCTATGTTTGCCTGGAAATGAAGGACTCTAAGGGGGCACAGTTACATGATAGGAGGATCCCATCATAAGTCATCACTGGAAGGGGAGCCACTCAGAAGAACCTCTAACCCACATTAGACTGCTATCCTGTAAAGCTATGGAGTCTTTGGGGTTGTCTACTACAACAGCTATAGTGTTAATTACTGTAAGACATACACAGGCGGGATCACGGTATATATTTATACATAAATATATGTGTGTGCGTGTGTATGTCTTTTGGCACCTTTAAAAAACCCACATATTTTAGGAGTGTTTTCATTACATGTATGTTGAATTTATACTTAAATTCATCATGAGTTCTTGGTAGGCAACTCACCACGGCTCTTGAATAATGACAACCTAAGCTATGCTTGTCAAGCACAGAGCAAGAGAATTTCTATGAAGCTCCTTGGGCCAGTCCAAGCCCCAGATCTATTTACCTACTCCCCCTGCTCTGTGTCAAAGCAGGACTGGCTCCTGTAGACTGCATTTCCCATGACTTCCTGTGTCAGCTGGCTTCCTGCTGGGCCTAGCCAATAGAAGACAGGAAATCAGGAGGTGGGAGAAAGGGAAAGGCCAGAGTGTTTTCCCCTTTTCTCATTGCCTTGAACAGCATCTGTAGCAGCTGCTGAATCTTTTTTTTTTAAGATTTATTTATTATTTATTTATTTACTTAATTTATTTTGGCTGTATTGGGTCTTAGCTGCGGCACGCGGGATCTTCCTTGAGGCACACAGGATCTTTCGTTGTGGCACGCGGGCTTCTGTGTAGTTGTGGCGTGCGGGTTTTCTCTTCTCTAGTTGTGGCGTGCAGGCTCCAGGGCGCATGGGCTCTGTAGTTGTGGCACGCAGGTTCCAGAGCACGTGGGTTCTGTGGCTTGTGGCACGCAGGCTCTAGTTGAGGCGCGTGAGCTCAGTAGTTGCAGCATGAGGGCTTAGCTGCTCTGCGGCAGGTGGGATCTTAGTTGCCTGACCAGGGATCGAACGTGCATCCCCTGCACTGCAAGGCAGACTTTTTACCACTGGACCACCAGGGAGGTCCCAGCAGCTGCTGAATCTTTTTGGTACCTCTACCTCCTGCTGGGCAGGCCCTCCACAGTTATGACTTAAACCAATTGACCCCATCCCTGGTCTCCATAACACCACCTTCCTTTTTTACCCTTCCTTACAGACTGAATGGTTGTGTCGCCCCAGATTCAAATATGTTGAAGCCCTAACCCTCAACGTGACTGTACTGGAGATAGGTCTTTTATGGAGGTGATTACCGTTAAATGAGGTCATCAGGATGGAATACTGATCCTTTTAAGAAAGACACCAGAGAGCTCTCTCTCTCTCTCCCTCCCTCCCACCGCTTCTCTCCCCCATCACACACAACACAGTGAGTCGGTAGCGGCCTAGAAAAGAGGCCTCAGAATGAATTCTACCTCCCTGGCACCTTGATCTTGGACTTCCCAGCCTCTAGAATTGTTAGAAATAAAGTTCTGTTGTGTAAGCCACCCAGTCTGTGGTATTTTGTTATAGCAGCTTGAACAGACAAAGACACCCTTGCAGCTGAGGAGCTCTGGTAGCTGCCTGGCATTGCTAAGTTCTGGGCTGTCTCACTGTCTCCTTCGGGCTTCTCAGCTTTTCTATCACCAATTCTCTGCATTAAACTCCCTCTATTTCAAGTGCTCACAGTGGTTTCCCATTTCCTGATCAGACCCTGAATGATTCACTCTATCATTCTCAAAGCCATTGCATGGACTAAGATATATCCAGCTTCCTTCACTGACAACGCAGTGTGCTGCTTAAGAAAGACACTATCAAATTAGGCTGACCTGAGTTTGAATCCTGACCCCACCCACTTCCTTGTTCAGTCGCCAAAGTGTAACATTAGTCTCACTAAGCTTCAGTTTCTTCATCTGCAAAATGGGGATAAGAATATTAAAGTCTAGCCCACAGAGGAAATAATGCTTGAAAGGTACTTAGCACAGTGCCTGACACAGAGAAAGTGTTCAGTAAGTGTTAGCTAATATAATAGGAGGAGGGACAGGGCCTGGTGAGGAGCTGACATTGTCGGCCATAATTACCAGAGCGTTCTTATCATTTGCGATGTGCAGTCAGTCTCCTAACAGTGCTGGGAGCCTCTCGCACAGCATCCTAGAAACTTGTTTATAATCAGTGTCCGGAACACATTATGGGAGAGTCTCAGGAAGTCAGGTTGGCCCTGATTTCCTAATTACCACAGAACACCTTACATTAGGCCTGCCTTTTTTTCTGTACTACCTACACCTGGCCCTGAACTCACCCTTGGTTTCCGGGCCTTTAACCAAAGGACCCCAACATCAGACTTCCCTGGTGACACAGTGGTTAAGAATCTGCCTGCCAATGCAGGGGATACAGGTTCGAGCCCTGGTCCAGGAAGATCCCACACGTCGCTGAGCAGCTAAGCCCGTGCACCACAACTACTGAGCCTGCGCTCTAGAGCCCACGAGCCACAGCTACTGAAGCCCATGCACCTAGAGTCCGTGCCCTGCAACAAGAGAAGCCACCTCAGTGAGAAGCCTGAGCACCGCAACAAAGAGTAGACCCTGATCTCCGCAAGCAGAGAAAGCCCGTGTGCAGCGACCAGGACCCAACGCAGCCAATAAAAAGCACCCCAATATATGCAGTCTTCTCTCCCCTCACCCCTCACCCTTCACGTACCCCAGCCAGTCCCCAGCATCCAAGGCCTTCCAAAGCCATCGAAAACCTAAGGAACTGCTGAGAATTCCCGACCTGGAATCAGCAAATGTTTTCTGTAAAGGGCCAGATAGTAAATATTTCACGGTTTGTTTGCAGGCCACTTACAGTTTGCCTGCTAACTACTCAGTTCCACCTTTTTAGTGTGAAAGGAGCAGAAAGTGAATGGGCATGGCTGTGTACTAATCAAACTGTATTTATAGACACTGATATTTGACTTTCATGTAATTTTTACCTGTCACAAAATATTATTCTTCTTTCGATTTTTAGCTATACCTAAAATATAAAAAATATTCTTAGCTCTCAGGCTGTACAAAAACAGGTGGCAGGCAGAATATGGCCTGCAGGCCATAGTTTTCTGATGGTTTTTAGTCAAGTTCCTGTGCTTTTTTAGTTGTTGCCCTTTCTTTCCTTCTTTGCTGTGTGACACTGGGTAAGTCACTTAGCCTCTCTGGGCTTCAGGGTTTTTTAAATTAAATTATTCAGTTTTATTGAGATATAATTGACATACAATACTGTATACGTTTAAGGTGTACAGCATAATGATTTGACATAACATATATTGTTAAATGATTACCACAATAATTTTTTTTTTTTTCTTTTTGGCCCTGCTGCCCAGCATGCAGGATCTTAGTTCCCTGATCAGGGATCGAACCTGCATTCCCCTGCAGTGGAAGCCCGGAGTCTTAACCACTGGACTGCCAGGGAAGTCCCATACCACAATAATTTTAGTTCACATCCATCTGGGCTTCAGTTCTTTCCCAGTAACCCCGGAGTAGTAGTAAATGAGTGTTTTTTAAAACCAGCTCTTCCGTGAGGATGGGGCAGGAGAGCAGCTGTTGGTTTTGCTGTTCCTGTTTTCAATCTTTTTTTAATTGTTTAGGTTTCCAGGTAAAAATGTCATTTCAACAAAAGTTCCCAGCGAACGAATTAATTTGGGAAATTACTAATTGATCCAGGGGTTCCAACTCTTTCCCCTGCCTCCTCGTTCTTTACCAGCACAAAACAAATCCAACATTTCAAAGAGACGAAATGGCGTAAAAGTTTACTTTCCTCCCTGAGTACTCCCTTATCAGATGATCAGTATGTTTGTTTATGTTTTGTTTATATATTTGTTCTACGCACAAAGTTCCATTCACTCATTAAAGAAACATTTGTGGAGCATCTCCTATGTGCAGCGCACACCCTGGAGGTTCTGAAGTGAACAAAACAGACTTGATTTCTCCCGAAGGAGCGGAGTGATGAAAGAAGGGGCGGGGGGATGGCTAGTGCTGTGCGGATGGACCACGTACGAATGCTGGCAAAGAGGGAGGGACAGAGGGAGGGAGGGACAGTTGGATGGAAATCGACCCCAGCTTCTGTGTTCCAAGAATTGTCCAACTGTCATTCCGAACCCCTGGTATCTTACCTCCCCGACTTCCTTCCGGTGCTTTCGCCAAACACAGGCTTCAGTTTCCTGGGCTAGCGCCTGCGCCAGCGCATCCTTTCCGCCCCTGCCGTTCCCAGCGCACAGGAGGGGAAAGAGTTTGGAAGTCACACCCTCCTGCCCCGCACGCCCCCAGCCCCCCTCCCTCGCGCTTCTCGGAACTGCTCACTGCCCCGCTCACAGCCGACGCCCCATTACTGCACTTATCAGTTCGGGCCACGTGAAAACCTGGCGACCCGCAGGGCGGCGTTCTGGCCTCCACGCAAGTGTTCTGATCTCTGTAGGGAAACAATATTAAGGCTAACCCCAATCTGTTTCAGTGACCTTTTCTAGACAGAAACGTTGCTGCCAGCTATTGCTAGGGAATGCACACCTACGCACGTTCTCTGGGGACTTCGGCCTGAAACAGCCTCAAGTCCTGGCTTTTCACTCTTCCGGGGTGGGCCTGGGCTGAGAGGTTAGAGGGATGCCTAATCCTACCCTCTATTTTCTCAGTGACAACTCTTTTTCTTCTCCAGGGCCAGTCCTTTCTTTCTTTCTTATTTCTTTACCCACCTCTTTTCCTCACTCCTCATTCAAGAAAAGTCCTTACAAGATCGAAATTTGACTTCTTTTCTGAGGAATTTTCAGCAATGCCCAGGGATAGCTTTTACCTCTCAGCTTTTCACCTGCTGTTGGAATCTGTTTCTCTCAAGCTGATTGGCCCCTTCTCACCCACTCCCTAAAGTACTTAACATGATTTTTATCTCCCTTCCTTTCTTCTTCACCCAGTATGGTAGACACTTAGGGGTATCTTTTAGCCCCTGTCTCTCCCTTCTTTGAGAACTTCACACACACCACACTTCTGGGTGAGCCCTTCGCAGCCATGTTTGAGTTTGAGCACATGACCTTGCCTCCATGGTATTAACTGGGCCAGGGAGGTACGGGACTCACAACTGGGTCAAGCCTATTCTCTCTTCCAGACTTTGGAATTGAGCTGGAGACTCCAATGGCAACCTGAGCTGGTCTCTTAGGTGCAGGAAATGCAGACAGGGAAGGCTTTGCCATGTGAATGTTGAATCAGTGAAAACTGGTCTGTAGAGAAGAAAGAAGGACACAAATTCTCAGAAGCAGAGATGAGGCTAGAAGAGTAACTCCCTAAGGATATGACAGCTTTCTTGTTCCTGCTTCCTGACCTTTGAGAGCAGCTGCCCTTGGGTTCCTTGAGATTCGCAATGAATGTTATATATAAGCCTGTGTGAGATAGGATGTATTTTACTGCAAGTAAGAGATAACCTAAATCAGGGGTCCCCAACCAGGCTGCACAGCGGGAGGTGAGCAGCGGGTAAGCCAGCGAAGCTTCGTCTGCTGCTCCCCAGTCACTCCCCAATCGTTCCCTGTCGCTCACATCACCGCCTGAACCACCACCCCACCCGCTGCTGTCTGTGGAAGAACTGTCTTCCACGAAACTGGTCCCTGGTGCCAAAAAGGTTGGGGACCTCCGACCTAAATGACAGTTGCTTGAACCATTAGGACATTTTTTTTCGTTTAAAAAGTCTGGAGGCAGGCATAGTTGGGGTGTGTTCAGTTCAGCTATGTCATTAAGGACCCAGGTTCTTTCCACCTTTTGGCTATGCTACTCAGCATGATGAATTTCCATTCTTGTGCTTGTTGTTGCCTCATGGTCTCAATATCGCTGCCATGGCTCTAGACATCATGTTTTCACATCATTGCATCAAGTAAGAAAGAAGAGAGGAGAGAGGAAGGGGCTCAATTTTTGTTAATAAAGAGAAATACCTCTTTCTCAGAGGCTCTGCAGACTTCCTCTTATATTGGCTAGAACAGTGTTGCATATCTACTCTACCTGCAAGGGAGGCTGGAAAAGTGAGTGGCAAAGGGGAATTATCTTTCCATGATTAGCTTAGACCAATTATGGTTCGTGGGGTTGGCAGGACAGCTGCTGTGAAATCAAGGAATATCCTTCCTGCACCTGAATAAAATCAGCAAGGAAGAAGGTCAGAGGGGGAGGGGGGTTGGTGTTGCATATAAAACAAACAGTGTCTGCCACACCTTCCTCAAACTTCCTGTTCCATCTAGGCTAATTTAACTCTATCTGTTACTTGTAACTAAAAGAATCTTGACTAAGACTCCTGTAAAAAGAGAATGCCTCTTTCCCCATTTCTCTGACTTACCTCCTGCCCCTCCTTCCCCAGGGAGGTGGAATGGGGTACCTGGTTGGTGTGGGGTATGTTCTCCCCTGGGTGGGGATGCTCTATTGACGGTCCTGGCTAGGAGGATCTGGTTTCTTTCTTTCTCTCTCCACCAGGACCATTGGGAGACGGAAACATGCATATGTGTTGCAGACTCAAACTTTCCCTTAGGTGGGCTGCCCAAGGTCTAGATTGGAGGTGAGAAGTTGTCACTCACACACAAGTCACAGATCCCTTATAACAGTAATAAAGGTGACATTTTTCAGGTGACATTTTTGTAAGCTATGTAATTTGGGGGACCCAGTACAAAATGAGTCACTGAAAATTTCAAGATGGTGATGGCAGAACATTAAACCAAGTACAGGGCCCTGTGCAATTCACAAAGGCCCCAAGCCCATGAATGTAACCCAACGCTTTAATTCTGCATCTGCTGACCCTTTTGTCTTACTTCTCAGTTGGTTCAGAACTTTAGTGAAGTTCAGGTTATTATTTACTGGGCCCCTTTGAACCCCAGTGACACTTAACATGGATTTTCAGCAGTTTATCCCTTTCCTTCCCTTCCCAGTGCCCCCAATCAATGCCCTGATGCACATGCATCTACAGTTCTCTTACTCATATCAAGATAGCTGAGATTCACCCCTATATTTTGAAATCTGTCCTTAAGCCTCACCACCAGAATTATAGAAATTAATATACAGGCTATTGGCTTCGGTGTATACAGCCTTGGGTTCTGATTTTCCCTCTGCCATTCACTACTAGTATATAGATTTGAGTCTCTTACTGATCCTCTAGGGCAGCGGTCCCCAACCTTTTTGGCACCAGGGACCAGTTTCATGGAAGACAATTTTTCCATGGATGGGGGTGGGGCAAGGGGAGTGGGGTGGTGGTTCAGGTGGTAATGCGAGCGATGCGGAGGGAAAGATAAAGCTTCGCTCGCTCGCCCTCCGCTAACCTCCTGCTGTGCGGCCGGGTTACTAACAGGCCGAGGAGTTGGGGACCCCTGTTCTAGGAGACTCAGTTTCCTCATATGCAGGGTGGGGCCAGTCATAATGTATGTTAGCTCTCGGCACACTATAGAAAGTGAATAGTTTTTGAAGGAATATCACAGTCGTATCCATCCATTCCTTCCTCCCCTCCCCTCCTCCCCCCTTCTCCCCTCCCTCCCTCCCTTCCTTCCTTCCTTCCTTTTATTCAATTATTATCAAGTACTCCACGGGCCAGGTACTGAGGTAGGTGCTGCTGAAATTACAGAGTTTATAAAACACAGACCCTTTCCTATCAAAGAAGACGACAGTATCCTGGTGAGAGCTGGTTGTTTTTTTGTTTTGTTTTGTTTAGTAAAGTATCTTAGGTTTTGTTTTTCACAGCTTTATCATGATGTAATTTATATATATTAAACTCCAACACCTGTAGTATACAATGCAGGGGGTGGTTTATATACATTAAACTCCAACACCTGTAGTATACAATGCAGGGAGTGGTTTATATACATTAAACTCCAACACCTGTAGTATACAATGCAGGGAGTGGTTTTTAGTATATTTATAGAGCTGCACCGCCATCACCATAATCTAATTTTAGACTATTTTCATGGTCCCACCCCCAAAACCTGTACCCATTAGCCGTCATTCCCAATCCCTCTGCCCTCTCCTTATTCTACCCCCACATATACCCCACCGCACCCCAGCCCAAGACAATCACTAATTTATTTTCTGTCTCTGGTTTGCCTGTTCTGGACCAATATATAGTTTTTTTGGTCTGGCTTCTTTCACTTAGCATAACGTTTTCAAGTTTCATGTATGTGGTAGCATGTATCAGTACTTCACTCCTTTTTTATTGCTAAATAATATTCCAGGGCTTCCCTGGTGGCGCAGTGGTTGGGAGTCCGCCTGCCAATGCAGGGGACACGGGTTTGTGCCCCGGTCCGGGAGGATCCCACATGCCGCGGAGCGGCTGGGCCCGTGAGCCATGGCCACTGAGCCTGCGCGTCCGGAGCCTGTGCTCCGCAACGGGAGACGCCACAGCAGTGAGAGGCCCGCGTAGCGCAAAAAAAAAAAAATTCCATTGTATGGATATATGACCCTTTATCTATTCAACAGCTGATGTACATTTGAGTTGTTTCTACATTTTAGATGTTATGAATGATGCTGCTACGAAGATTTGTATACAAGTTTTAGTGTTGACATATGTTTTCATTTTTCCTGTGTAGGTATCTAGGAGTGGAATTGCAGGGTCATATGTTAACCCTATGTTTAACATTTTGAGGACCTGCCAAACGGTTTTACAAAGCTGCTGAACCATTTTACATTCCCACCAGCAATGTATGAGGGTTCCAGTTCCTCCACATCCTCATTAACATTTGCTATTGTCTGGCTTTTAGTTTTAGCTATCCTAGTGGTTCTGAAGTTGTTGGGGGGTTTTTTTGGTTGTTTTTGTTTGTTTGTTTGTTTTTTTGCGGTACACGGGCCTCTCACCGTCGCGGCCCCTCCCGTTGCGGAGCACAGGCTCCGGACGCGCAGGCTCAGCGGCCATGGCTCATGGGCCCAGCCGCTCCGCCGCATGTGGGATCCTCCCGGACAGGGGTACGAACCCGTGTCCCCTGCATCGGCAGGCGGATTCTCAACCACTGCGCCACCAGGGAAGCCCGAAGTTGTGGTTTTTATTTACATTTCCCAAATGACTAATGACATTGAGCATGTTTTCATTTGTTTATTAGACATTTGCATTTCCTCTTTGGAGAAATGTTTATTCAAATCCTTTGCCCATTTAAAAATAAAGTTATTTGTCTTTTTATTATTAAACTATAAGAGTTCTCTATATGCTCTGGATACAAGTCTCTTATCAGATGAATGATTTGCAGATGTTTGTTCCCATTCTTTTTTTTTTTAAAATAAATTTATTTATTTATTTACTTTTGGCCGCATTGGGTCTTTGTAGCTGCACGCGGGCTTTCTCCAGTTGCGGTGAGCAGGAGCTACTCTGCGTTGCGGTGCACGGGCTTCTCATTGCGATGGCTTCTCTTGTTGTGGAGCACGGACTCTAGGCACACGGGCCTCAGTAGTTGTGACTTGCAGGCCCTAGAGCACAGGCTCAGTAGTTGTGGTGCACGAGCTCAGTTGCTCCATAACATGTGGGATCTTCCCGGACCAGGGCTTGAACCCGTGTCCCCTGCATTGGCAGGCGGATTCTTAACCACCTGCCACCAGGAAAGTCCCTATTTGTTCCCATTCTGTAGGTTGTTTTTTCACTTTTTTTTTTTTTTTTTTTTGCGGTACGCGGGCCTCTCACTGTTGCGGCCTCTCCCGTTGCGGAGCACAGGCTCCGGACGCGCAGGCTCAGCGGCCATGGCTCACGGGCCCAGCCGCTCCGCGGCATGTGGGATCTTCCCGGACCAGGGCACGAACCTGTGTCCGCTGCATCAGCAGGCGGACTCTCAACCACTGCGCCACCAGGGAAGCCCTGTTTTTTCACTTTCTTAGTGGTG